AGCATTATCTGAGCACTTCTGCTGTAATACAATTGTAGCTGAAAAGCAAGAGGTCACTCAGTAGATGAGATCCTGGAGGTGGCATAAGATCCCTGCATACACCACGTACCCTTGGTGATTGAGCTGTCATTAACCTTTAATTTTCAAGGAGAGTCACTTTTAAGAGAGCCAACTCCTTTTTCCATCTCTGTGTTGGGCCTTTCCTGGATTATATTTGCTTGTTGTGGCAGTGAGTGACAGCTTGGCACTCAGAAGCATAAAGAACCTGAACAGAATGCTGTGTTTGATACCCTGCTGCTGGGATGCTCTGAGAAGCTTCAGTTCTTTCCACACAGACAGCATCTTCTTTGCTGACATCAACCTGTATGTGGGCAAGTATCTGATGTAGCTCAGAACAGCTTGACTTTAAGTCGTGAGGGAAGGGGACTTGAGGAGAGTCAGCAAGCAGAGTCTGTCAAAAGCAGAGAGGTGTCCCCTGTGCAAGGGTAGGGTCAGAGCTGCACTCTGTATGGTGTCTAAATGGCTATTAGTGATCTATTCCCTGCCCCAAACCAGCTTTGTTAATTTTTGGCCTGCAGTACCACTTTCAAATTGGCAAAAATCAGAGTGTGTTTAACAAAGAAACTTTCCTGTTATCTTTACTCAGACAGTGACTGGCAGCGCCAAATAATATTGATTATTTCATAACATAAAATTTGCCTGTCCTCCCTGCTCCCACTGCCATCAGTTATCTTTTCAAATCACGTTTTAAATCACAAAAGAAAAAGCCTTGCATAGAATCCATTATCAGTCCTATTGCATGATGGAAGGAGCTTCAACAAATAAAACTGGGGGAGAAGATCATGGCATTGTGGGTATTTATTTTTTTACATTGTTTTAAATAAGCTTGAATTGATGCAGAAGAAAAGTCTGGCTTGTTTTGAAAAGGCTTTTCCTGGACTGAACCTTTATTTTCTTTAATGCTGTGTAGTTTGAACTGCATTGAAGGGGAGAGCAGTATTTTCTTGGTTCTTGTAATAGCATGTCAACTGTCACCTACCTGTCAGCCAGGGCATTAAGGAGCAGCTGCAACTCTTCACTTGTATCTTTTTTTGCCTGTGATGGGGAGCCAAAGCTCAGCATAGTCTGCTCAGACTTGCTGCAGTTCACAAGGCCTTATGCCCAAGCATGTTTCTGTTTGTGCTCTAGACCACCCAGACTTGTAAAATCTTTCTCAGATTTTTCAGTGCTTGGTCAGAACAGCAGGTAACTGCAGTACTTGTGTGCAGCTTCTGAATACCAGAGAGCAAGAGTGGGTTGGAGAAGCCAGAAAGCCAGAAGACAAATTGACTGAGTGAGAATTCAGTTGTGAGCGTGGGATGGAGGGAATAGAGAAATTATTTTGACTCTCTTGATTTTTTTCAAGTGTGCTTCCAGCCTGCTGCTCAGCTTGTCTCTGAGCTTGGGTCCCCTCTAGAGGCTGCATTATGTTCTGGCAGTATAACAGCTGTGGCCAGGGATGGTTACCTTGAGAGCTTTATCCTAACCATGGAAATACTGATGTTTCTGTGTAGCGCTTCTGACTGTGAATCTTCTGCAAGTTTGTCTGCTCTGAGAAAGCAAGACCCCCACAAGTTCAGTCTGTTCCATCTTCCAGGGCATTTTGAACAACTAGCCTGTTCCCTGAAATCTTTTTTTTAAAGGAGAAGATGATCAATTTGCTAAAGATAGAGAAGAGTTAGGAGTTCCTCAGCTGGATTGACTGTTGGCTTAGGTGAACATCAAATGGCTCCTTTTATTGTCATCCAGCTGGGACTTACACAGCTGAATCACAATAAATGTTGATCAGTGAAGTCAAGAAGAGATATTAGCTCAATATCCTCCAGGTGCAGCTGAGAAGTGCTGTGTCAATCATTTACAATACAGAAGCAATGTTTTGAGAACTTCACCTTGCACAAATATGCAGGTGTGCTGCTCTATAATATTGAAGATTTATGTATTTATTTTTCATTTGAATGAGGAGACACATAAAGAGGATATGGACTTGCTGCTTTTTCAGTACCAAACTGTAGCTGAGTACCCTTAATGATCATGAGAAGATTGAATTTACTGATTTACCTCAACCTGTGTTAATTTGGTTTCAATCAGCGGAAACAATGCAATGTACAGCAGCTCTGCTTGGTATGTAGTACTCACATATAATGTGCCATTCATTACCTAGTGCAGATTATTCATTAGGTTACTTATTGTAAACAAGTGTTATTATGCACATATATTTAGTATGTTTATGATGTATACAATTCATAGTTTGCTGCTGAGTAATCTACTGTGATGATTTTCACAGATATAAGAACATTAAGGTAACAGAGCATAAAATAAAAAATGATTTGGAAATATATGATGTAGAAATAATTCTACAAACATTTTAGAAGTACCAGGTGTAGTGAAAAAATATTCTATAGGTGAGTACGTATATTTTCCAGACAATAAAGAGTCGGCACAATTTTATTTAAGTATGTACCTACAACTGCACCTGTAAATTTGTGATCTGTTAAACAGTGTTGAAAAAGAAATCTGAGACAAGTAGCCTAGGAAGCTTCTGGGCTGTGGAGATGATACTGCATCGCAGTGTGTCATCGTGGGGAAATGCCTTAGATCCAAATTTCAGCGTTTTTTTTCCATCAAGAAAAATCTGCTCAGTGCTTTGGTTTCAGCTTGTGTCACCTGATGATCCAACGCACATTGGTTAGGTGTGCCCTTGCAGGCTTAAGGTTATTTTGAAGATAATTAATGCCTGCAGAATGCTGCATGTGTGTATATGTGCACTTGTGCATAATGACAAAAGCGTTTGAAGTTCTTGAAGTACAGTTTGTATATTCCAGTCTTTTTAGTTCTTGTACTTTGCCATTCTTTCTTTTAAATAATGAGACAGACACAACACAGCGCATGTCCAAGTACTCTGCCAGATACTTATTCATTGCAAGAGGTTTGAAAATAAAGCTCAAAAATACTTATTTAAAAAAAAAATCAGAAAAGAAATTGTCAGTCCTGAAGTTATGAATTAATTATACACTTGTCAGCTTATATTTTCTTTAGCATTGTCAAAAATCAAGAAATTGACAGGAGAAAGATGTGGTTTGAGATGCATGAGCGGTAATAAGCTGTTAGAGGACAGTGACTGCAATCTGTAGAGAAGAAAAGAAAATCATAACATCACCTATGGACCTCTATGAATGCCGAGAGATTAAATGCAAGGAATGAGGAATAATTCTGTTTATATAGTATTGCATTTAAAGAGATAGACAAACTAGAAGTTGTTTCTATTTGAGATTTCAGAACTCCAGAGTTGCTATACTTCAATGCTTTTCAAGGGAAAGCTTTTGCTCAGGAGGAAAATGAACATACTTCTTGGAAAAGAGGGAGTAAGCACTGTTATAAATAGTGCTTGCTATGCAATTGTGAAGAGGCAAAACAAATTACCCTTCTGATTTGTGACAACTGGAATATGCAGCTTTTTCTGCTATCTCTTTAACAGGCACAGAACTCGATCATTCTGAGAGGTTACTTTTCCTGCTGATGTTACGAAGGTTGCACACGTCGTTAGGGCTGATGCATTGCACTTCTCTGCTTTGCTAGCACTCCTGATACTAATGGGATACAGGAACGTGCTTCTGCAAAATACTGATGTGGGGAGCTGAAGTCCTTCAGTTTACATTATCCTGCATGTGAATAAATCTGTTGTAAAATTTTTGGCTTAGTAATATCCACTGGATTTATGTTTGCTTGAGGATTCTTACCCAGGTCTTTGATTTAGCTTTCCCTGAAACAGAGAGGGGAATATATTGTGTTTTATACATGTGACACAATATGCAACTACTATTTATAAGAAATTAATTTGGTAATTAACTTTATGATTAGTTTTAGTTACCAAGAAATAAAAGATGGGAAGATACTGCTTGTAAGAGTAACGATAGTTCAGAATTCACTGACTATTGCGAAACTCTCCCAAGGAGCATGTTTGGATGGTTTTAGAGTCTAAATTGATTAAAAAATAATGTTAATAATAAAATTTCCCTTCATCCTTATTTCAGCAGCATTTAACTATGTGACTGTGGTTATGAACTTAATTAAGTGGTAATATTTAATTGTGCTAGATATCAAAAGCTGAAAGTTCTGGATGGCAGATAAATATTTGACTGTTTGTGACTGATAGTGGTCTAAAAATAATGTTTAATTACTAAAATTATCAATTAAGTCATTTAAACATTTTAGTTAAGTATTTAAAATTCATGTTTATGGTGTTGCTTTTTTTAATGTCCATCTGTATCAATTTAACAAAATGTTCGTGTTGCATATTGATGTGAACTGAACACAGTATCTTGTATATATTACACTCCGTTTGCAGCAGAGCTTTGGAATTAATTTCTGATTTCTGTGTTTTTTACTACAGCTGACTTTTGTTAATGCTACTGATCTTAACTGAAGTTAGTAAGAAGCAGCATGTTGTGGTTATATTCACTCCAGCAGTGTCTGTCACTGCTGTTGCATAGAGTTATATAGCATGTTGTTTCAGAGGCATGCTTCCATGAGGGTACTGAGTAATGTGGAAAATTGGGCTCTTGTTTAACTGTACAGAGTGGTGAGAGGCTGCCCAGATTGGCTGTGGATGCTCGATTCCTTGAGCTGTTCAAGACCAAGTTGGATGAGGCCCTGGACAGCCTGATTGAGTACCAGAACCTGTTGTTCTTTGTTTAAAACTGTTAATTCAGAGTGATCTCATGGAAGAAATTTGTTTCAATTCATAATATGAAAATTTCCAATTGTAATAATCATTCATCTAATTCATTTAATAATCATTCATCATGATAGGAATGTGTCAAATATTTTATTTAAATTATGAAACTTTTTTTTTAAGTTGCCTTTCAGAGTGGAGGAGATCTAACAAGAATCTGAACTGCTTGGAAGTTTCCATTAAAGATAAGCAGACTTAATCAGCTCAGCATTTATTTTATTACTTGCAGGTAGTGCTGTATCCGACATCCAACAGCTCCAAGTCCCCTGATTTGCACAAAATGATCGTCCCCAAAAACAGCCAGGACAGTGACTTGAAAATCAAATTGGCAGTGAGAATGGATAAACCACCTCACATGAAGCACTGTGGGTAAGTGGCTGTTTTCTGCCAGGTTGCATTCTATTTTTTTTGCCTCACTGTGCCTATGCTTAACCATATGTAGCAACAACATAAAGTGTGTAAAAACAATGTAAGTGTGTACAACAGCTGTTAGTGTGACATTGTGTTGTTTTATGTGTAAAGTTTATAATAGTCAGGAATAGCATCCAGTTCAGTGAGATGTAAGGAGAGTTATTGAGCTGACTGACACACAGAGCTAAAAACACTGTCAATTACAAACTGATTTTAAATATTACAGTTTATAACACTTCAGAAAAGCCAAAGTTGTTATTTAAGAAATCAAAATTTTTCCATTAAAATAAGATTAATCATATATTCCATGTAGGGGTATTTGCAATGCTATCATCTCCCATTTTCTTCTTATGTCTGCTCTCCTGTCTTTCTCTTGAATTGATGTGAATGTACCAGTTTAAGGATGTTTCCCTGCCTAGCTCCAAAACTAAATGCAATAGATTATTTGTAAAAACATCTCTAGAGGAAATTGCTACCACCATTCCTCATCCTGGCTGCAAAAGCAGGTGAAGTTGCCTGCAGTAAGCAAGGCTGTGTCTCATGCCATAAAGCAATCACCGTTGCTTTCTGTTCTTCTAAATTATAATTTAAGTAGATGTCAGTATGGAGCCAGAGGGGATTACAGAATCACACAATGTCTTGTGCTGGAAGGGGCCCTAAAGTTCACCTAGTTCAACCACCCTGCCACAGGCAGGTTGTCACACAGCAGCTCAGGCTGCCCAGGACTCCATCCATCCTGGCCTTGAATGTCTGCAGGGATGGGGCATCCACAGCTTCTCTGAGCAACCGACTGAAGCAATGAGTGCTGCTGAAGTGACGTAGTGTTGCTGTGTTCATCAGCAGCCTGTCAAACAGCATACACAGTGCTTGGATACAGGGATTGATTCCAGGCTCTAATGCCTTTATATCCTTCTACCCATCTGCAATGTATCAGATATCTTCACAGAGTGTTTTAACAGGCAACTGGATAATTTGAGATTGGTTCGCCAAGGAAATTGATTAACCCTTGTTTAATTTAAAAGCTTACATATTCGACTGAAATTAATAGAGGAACAATAACTAAAATTAGTAAAGCAGTAACATCAAACAAAGCACTACTTCGACAGTATGAGTAACAAATAATACACAAATCACAAATAATACAAATCAGATGCATTTAACCTGCACGTAACCTGGCATGGTGGTGTGCTCCACTCTACAGCTACTTCAGAGAGGTTATGCTGCCATGCACTTCTCCCACAGGTGACTGTGGGGAGTTCCTGCATTTGATCAGGCCACTGATAATGCTGGAGTCGTGCTGCCCACAGACTGAATTAAGGCATAACACACAGTTTTTTGGACTTGGGCCTAGCAACAAGGGCAGAGCTCCAGTGCTGCTTCTGGTTGTGCTCCAGGTTTCTCCACAGAAATTGTGGAGACCCAATTCCACAGAGATTGTGACCCAGCTGGGGGGCTGTTCTGTTCTCCAGAGGGTTTTCCTCACCACCCAGTTTGCTTTTCCATACTAGTTTATATCTCTGGTCCTCTTGTCTGAGAATTACAAGGGTTCCCCAGTCAAATATTATTTTTAAGGATTTAACTCAATCATCATCCTTTTCATCTGCTATTTCTAGTTACTGCCTTATGTTGTCTTTGAACACTGGTCTCTGGCACAGTTTCTTACCTCTTCATTTTACTATAGTGTCACTGTTTTCATTATTCTCCAGACAAAAAATTGATTTTTACTTTTTCATCTAGCAAAGTCAGAGCACCAAGGGAGGCCTGTATGGACTGCTCCACTGTAAGCATTCATGAAATGAAATAAAATGTTGATGATGTCTCTATTGGCCATTGAAAGAGTTAATGAAATACTGATAGCGCTGAAATACTGATGAAAGCATTGGAGTTTCAGTGGGAGTGGAGGGAACAGAAGTCAGAAACCCTCAACATTAGGAAAAGCAGACACTCAGGCACTCTCATAGCCTTTGCTTGACTTCCTGTGTGAGTAAAAGTATGTTTGCTGTATTTTTGAAAGGGATTACTGTCAGATTATCACACAAATTAAATCTGTTCAGTTCAGAACTGATGCAGCATTATATGAGAAACACTCATTTATGCAGAAGCTGGAAAACGTGCAATGAATGAAGGACAGCATTACAGGACACAAAGAAACGTGTTATGATGAAGGTAGCTGAGAGATGCCGGGAAGAGCCTGCCTCCTTTTCCACCTGCAGTAGCTGGTGGTATGCACCTAATTTCCTGTGCTCAGTTTGGTAAGCTGGAATCTCACTTCACAGAGGTGCGTAACATACACAGAATAGCTGAAATCAGTAGAAATAAGGCTGTAAATATACATACAGATAAAATTTTTGGTGATGTATTTTGATTGAAGTGAGAATAATAGTGCTTACTTGGGAGAAGACTAGGGAAGGAATGGGTAGGGAGGGTTCATGCACACTGCTAGCCAGCTCATGCTCAGGGGAGAAGCAGGATGGCAGCAACTGTGCTCACCTAGGAGCAGAACTTGCGCTCTGCCAGGGGTTTTATTGCTCTGCAGCCCCCTGCTGAACCTGCATGAGGCAGAAAAGTAAATAGCTCCATTTTCTCTCTCAATCAGCATGTGCATAACAGGCAGGGAAACAAGCCATGGGAGAAAATAAATTCTTGAAGCGCTGGATTGCAAGCCTGCTATAACCCTGAATAGTGAAAAGGGCTGGGAGTTCGTTTTTTTTCATTTCACATTGGTATGTAGTCACATATTTATGCACGGATTCATAGCGTACTAAAAAGGGGAAAGCAAAAGGATGTGCTTTTGCAGTACTTTTGCAGTTTCGTTGCGTCAGAGTTCTATTTTACAGCCATAATAACAGGCTTTTAATGCCATTAGTATGGTTATCCTCCATGAGTTCCAATTTTGTCAGAGCCGTCTCATGCTTTATCTTTGCCCAGTCTTTGAACCAGGTAACTTTTATTACCCGTGTAGAGCTGAGTTTACAAGCAAACAAAGAAGGTTCATCACTGTCTAATCTGTTGCTGTTAAACAACAGTGTTTCAGCTGGGAACCTCAAAATTTATTCAAAATTGAATTAAAATCTTACCACACAGCCAGTTGCAGAAAGAGGGATTTTGTTAAACTAATTTTATTAAACTAAGGATTAAAAAAATGGTAATGAGCCCTCTTTGTCAGATACAATAGCTATGCTCAAGTATTTCAGATTCCTCAATGTCAGTTAAGTCCACAAACCCATGCTAATTATGGGTTTATGGTTTTATTTCCTTGGGAAATGTTTCTCCTATTTAAACTGAATTTAGTTATTGACAGGGGAGACATGCTGAAAGTCCTCAAAACCCATCTTGTTTCTATTCTTCAAGAATATTTATTTTCACAAATTATGCTGTCTTGTAGTTAAATTGAGATTTTTAAATTCACAGATTATATTCTGTGGTTGCAGTGCCTTACAAACATGTTCCCTCTCTAAATATCTAAATTCATAAAAACTGATTATATTTCAAATAAAATTATAGACTTGGGATTTTTTCAGTACAAGCCAAAACCTTCTTAAGAGCAAGAAATAAAGGCTACTTGTATGCATCTTACTGCACAGTATTATTATTTATTTCTGATTTTTTCTTTCAAATTTTTGCATGCAGGGCTCAAATAATGTGGAAAAAAAAGTGAGCCATAACAATCCTTTTCTATTTAAACCCTGAGAATAGATAAGAGAAGGTAGCATGCACAGCTAGAATATTCTGGGTAATGATAAGGTAAATGTTGCTCATTAATTAGAAATTGCAGAACAGGTTTGAGTATGGGCAATTCGTGATACTTCAGATTCCTTTCTCATCATTCATAATGTATTCTCATAGAATACAGTAACCTTTCTCAGGTTCAAAGTGCAGACTATATTCAAGAGACATTTTTTTAATCTTCTCATTGTACAACAATAGAAACATTTCTATCCATGTCTTCCACTGCAGTCTGAAATCTAAAACAAATCATCAAAGGAAATAAAAGATGTGGTCTGAAACTTTGCTATATAAAATGCTAAAAGCCCATTTATTCCTGTTAAGCTGCAATAGAAGTGCTAGGGAGCATTTGCTTCAGGAAGACTCGCTTGGCTCTCCTTAACTCATAATTAGGGTTGAAAATCCAGGGAAGACAGGTTAACCCACTCAAGATGTGTGTTACTGCAAATACATTCTTCTAATCCATTTTCTTATAAAGTACCTTTGCATATCTGTGTGCATATAAAGCAAGTGTTACTTTTCAAAGTGTATTGTGCCAGTTGAGCTGTCTGTTAGCATAGCCTAGTGGTTACTGAGGGGTATTTGCTTTCAAACTAGAAATGTAAGATGGGTACTGATATTTTATCGTATATCTTTTTTTTTTTTTTTATTAGTCATGTTTAATAATCATATCTGAAAGAGTGAAATAAAAAATAGTTTTAAATGAAATTCTTACCAATTGAGCAGCCTATACAGGACAATATTACAAAGTAATATCATTTGCTTTTGACTTTCAAAGTAAAATGTGTAAGCACTGCTCTTGTCTAGAACATTTTCTAAGATAAAATGGCAAAATTTGTCCCTGTGAGTTCTGCTTTTTGTTGTGACATGTTGCATTTAGAATTGTTCATAGAATCGCAGAGTGGCTGAAGTGGGACGGGACCTCTGGGTCCATCTGGCCCAACCCCTGTTCCAGCAGGGGCACCCAGAGCTGGGTGTCCTAGTCCACGTTCAGGCAGCTTCTGAAGATTTGCACAGCCTCTCTGTGTAGCCTGTGCATGGTCACCACACAGGGAAGAACTGCTTCCTGATATTCATATGGAGCCTCCTGTGTGACAGCTTGCGCCCATTGACTCTTGTCTTGGCACTGGGCACTACTGAAAAGTGCCTGACTCTGGCCCCTTTGCACCCTTCCTTTAGGAACTTGTGCATATTGATGAGATTCTCCTGGCTGAACAGGCCCAGCTCTCTCT